CGCCTCGCCCTCTGCGCAGGAAGTCTGCGTCTGCTACGAAACGTTATCATACATGTTGTAGGTGGCCAAATTGCCACTACTTGAAAGGAGGAGCTTGTTCAGGCTGTTGTAGCTCCAGAGCGCCTGACCAGCTTGCAGCCGCTGCCCGGTCGTGAGATTGTTGCTCGAGCTAACCCTGCTCACATTAGACCACGCCATGGACTGCACCCATTGGAAAGTCGCGTTGATATATGCGAAGCCTTTACCCTGTATTTCACCCAACGCGGCGCCTACGAGCTTGTAGGTGGAGTCCCCTGTAACTGTCACCTGCGATTCTCAGGCAGGAAGGGCCCTATATAGAACCCGAGATGATAACATTGTGTTCGATCCCTAAAACTTGGCGTCCCTTATTGTTGAGAACACCCTGCCGTTTGAGTGTATTGACTAGGAGGACCGGATATGCACTGTGCATAGGGGTTGGGATCCGGCGGAAAGCATCCATACCAGTTGCCAGTATTGTAGCCGTCGGAAAAGAATAACTTCATGTTTACGACCTGCGAATCAGCCCACGAATCGCTGCCATCGATAAAGTGAAGTTCGATGGTATGGATGTACCTGTCCGGGTAAGCCCAGTCTTCGCAATTGCTCCCTTTGGTATTGGATGTCACGCCCGATGTTTCCTCCCTTCCATCGTCATAAGTCCTCGGACCCACAGAAAATGAAGTGAACCAATAAAAGCAGCGCTCAGGAATCCGCCAGAAATTCCCAACCCGAGACTCAACTCATGATCGCTACGTGTTTTGATTTCGAAGTTCGCACACGCCATCCCCCGCAGCGAAGTCTCAGGTTAAGGCACCAAACTTCTCAGCATCGCATCCTAAGCCTCCAAACTCCGAACATCTTGACATCTTCGAAGGTTCAGGGTTTATAATGTAGGGTAAGTATGCCATGCGGTGTAGAGGTGCAGGCTTGCGCAAACCCTTCGTGGTCAAAGGTTGGGCTCAAAGGCTTCCACCAGCTCTCTCACACTGGAAATCATCACATCATCACAGGCGCAGCTTGAAGTAGTCCACGAAGTTGCACCCATGGGCCCATGCGCTTGCTTTTCTGATTTTGCCAGGGCCCAAGAATCCGGTCTCGTTGATGGTCCACCTGCGCCCAAAACCGTAAACCCTAAGTTCCTAAACCCTAAACCGGAAACAGCAGACAAGACGCACAAAGGCAAAGGAAATTGAACGGACAAACGAAGCCCCGGAAAAATCCCGGGCTCGCCGCGTACTATACTAGACTGTACTGTACTGTACTGTACCATACCGTACTATACTATACTCTACTCTGCTCTACTAAGCTGTCCTACACTTACAGCTTACCGGGGGGGGTGCGGGAAGACACCCCCCGACCCAAGACGCGGAGAGGACTTAGTACAGTATAGTACAGTATAGAACAACTATGTATAGTATGGTATAGTATAGTATAGTATAGTATATAATCTAGTGTAACAGCACAGTCATAGTTATAGTTCTAGCTCTAGCTCTAGCTGTAGCTATGGCTGTAATATAGTATAGCATCTGCAACCACAAGTGGAGTGGACGATCTCGGTTGCATCTCGGCAGACACGTCCATCCTATACCAACTGCCCTGCCGATTTTGACCATCCGACTACAGGAACAATGACTTTGCCACTCCTGTCAAACCAGCTTCGTCATGTCAGGCTGTAGGAGACCACAGGGGCACAAGAGGTCAAACGAGAGGAGAGATAAGGAGATGAAAAAGTAAAAGGGCGCGAGGAGAGCATGCGGAGAAGAGACAAGACGGGAGACGGGGAACTATGAACAAACAACGACGGCGGGCAGGGAAGCCAGAGGGGAGGCAAGAACGAAAGTCGGAGGATTGCGAGTGGAGCCTAGAGTTATAAGGACCGTTCCGATGGAGAGGCCCCAAGCGTCTGGTTTGAACATAAGGCAGAACAAAGGTAATGAAAAGGTAATAGTGCGCCGACACTGCAAATCCAGAAAGGTGTAGAAAAGGTACAAAAAAGGTACAAAAAAGATATAAAAAATAAATAATACAAGTAATTTAAAAAAGGTAAAAGAAAGGAAAAAAGAAAGTTCATAAAACAAAAAAGGTAATACAGCAATCCGCAAACCGGACGGGGTGAACTGCTGATTTCGCTATAGCCCTTGCTGTTCCTGAGGTCACGGCCAATTGTTGGAGCCTACCTGTCTGCTGCCGTCTTGAAGGTCTTGCGTGACGGCAGCGTAGGGGCCGACGGTTATGAACTCCAGAGCCGGGAGGATTGTGGGCGCGACCTTTTCCATACCTCAAACAGGGTTTAGAGCTTGGGGGTTTCGGGCTTTGGGATTTGATTTGGCGTGTTTCCTACTGGGGCTTCGGGTGGCTCGAGGCTTTCGGAGTTGGGGGCTTTCAACGGCGTCTTCCTGGCACGTAGCGCTGCAAGTAGGCGATCGGCTGCATCGCCTTGGCCATAGCTGCAGAGACCTGGTTCAAGATACGCTTGGCAGTCATGTTACCAATCTCGACACAACGGTTGTCAGATCCCTGCATCCCGTCATGGACGTGGACGTCGTTGCCGATTTGGACCAGCTTGTCTGTCACGACAGAGGAGCAGTCCGATACCTGGCGGCTGCCTTCGTAAACCTTCTGGTCGATCAGTGTAGACCTCCAGCTTCTCCAAAGAGAGTACGTGTAGTTGAAGAAAGTCTGATAGTACGCCACATTCGTCTGCAATTCGTAGAGCCAGGCCGGATCTGCTGAGCCATAGAACCGAACTCCATGAACCAGCCGCTCTCGCAGAATGACGCAGTGCAACGTCGCCCCCACAATAGTGATGGGAAGCAACTCGTACTTGTTGGTGGAGAGAGTAAGGTGATTCATGATGTCTTGTGCCTTTGCCAGCGCAATGGACAAGTCATTGCCTTTTTCTGTGATGGTGCTCTCCCGGCTATATCGGGTTAGGTAGCTTCGCACGGAGAGGAAATCTGCCTCCCTTTCATGCAGTTCTTCGTTGAGGATGGACACATTCACGAGTTCCTCAACATCGTTGAGAACCAACGACCAAATGTCCACTTCTCCGCTGGAGTCCTCCGGCCAGAGAAACCCAAGAACCGTGGCAATGATGCCCCCGTAACGTTCGTGCTTCTCCTTCTTCTCTGCTGGATCGTGTTTGAGGATTCTCTTTTTGAACATCCACTCAGGAAGCATAGGCATGTATGCTTCTACGGTGATCTCTGTGACACACTCCCCCACCTTTGCCAATCGGCTCAGCCACTTCCCCTTCGTGCTGTCATCCTCCAAGTCATCACCTGACAAGGTCGACGACGCGTCTGCCTCGACAGACTCGTACACCTGCTGCACTTCACCCGTCGTGTACGAGAAAGCCTCCTCCAGATCGGACTGGATGTTGTACTGAGCTTGCTGCTCACGCAAAGCCTGTTCCAGCAGCTCTTCTGCAGCCATGTCTTCTGAAGAACAGGCGCCTTGGGCTTGGGCGCTGTGGCTCGCAGCGCCTATCTGCAAGAGGGGCAGCTCTTCCCTGTCCCCAACAGGAGCGGGGGATGCCTCGCATGCCTCCCCGTCCGCACGTGCATGCAGGAGGAAGGCTGCAAGGAGCAACATGAAGGAAACCATCCTGACAGGGAGGCGGGGAGGCTGTGAGGCTGCGCGGCTTGCCAGGGGCTCCAAGAGCGCGAGCACATCCACTAGCAGGCTGCTGTCAGAAAGTCTACTGCACTGGCAGGGTCCACTGATGGAATGGAGCCACCAGAGACGCATTCAAGCACGCTCCTTGTTTCCATGGCATCGCCAGTGTCACCTACTCCTAGACCCCAAGAAGTCGCACCAAAGCAAGCCTTCGGTGCATTCTGCACCGAAGGCTTAGAGGCATCATACCTTTGGTATGTGCAGGCATTCACCACGGGCCGATGCAAGAAGTTCCGTGTCCTTTCGATCCTCCTCGAAAGCCCTAACCCCCACGATCCCAAATGGAGAAGCGCCACCAAGTCACTAATCCTATACAGTTTAGGCTTGCGAGCATAGGGTCTCCTAAGTTCTAATCGGAACGGGATCCCAAATCCGGTCTTCCTCAAAATCCCAGCAATGCAGCGGGTCCTGAAACCTGGAACAATCAGCCCGCGAATCGCACGGTTCAAACTCGAGCCTACCTACAGCCTCTATGAATCGAAGCCACAAAACCCGAAATCCTTATTCCAAACCCCAAACCCATAAACCCTCAAACCACAAAGCCGGAAGAAGCCCTATCCAATTCCATCAAGCCCCAAGCTCCCTAAACCCTAAACCCTAATCCCTAACCCCTAAACCCTAAACCCTAAACCCTAATCCTTAAACCCTAAACCTAAACCCCCAGACCCTGAGCCCCAAAGTGAAACTCAGGCCCTCCGGAGTCTAAAAAGGGCGGAAGCTCCTGCACCTCTGGCCTAGGCCGAGCCTTTCGGCAACGACCTTCCCCCCGATCGTCTCAACTGAGACGACCAGAATCTTGACTTTTCTGAGGGTAGAGGCTTTCTACATTACGACAGGCGCCTGAATAATTGGAATAGCGTTCTGGGGCACAGTATCCTCTACTTACAATAAGGAACCCACAAACTAGTATAGGTAGTCATTTAGGCCCTACATTATCTTTAGGAGCTGGAGATACGGGTTCTACTGGTCTTCGGCTTTCGCTTGGCCGGTGGTTTTTGGAAAGAGGAATAGGAATCACATAAGCCTGCTAGCCGAAAGATGACCACGGACCGTAGAGGTTGTCGCAGTAAGCCTGGGCTGAGTCCACACGAAGCTCAGGCTCGCGGCTTAGGGTGCGGGCTTTAGGGTTCAGGGTTCATGGCTTTAGGATCGCAGCTTTAAGTTTATGGCTTAGCGGGTTCTTTCAGGATTTATCGTAAAAGGTTTGGGCTTTAGGGTTCTTTCAGGGTGTCGGATCTTAGCTTTAAATGGGGTCAAAGGCTTAGGGCCACAGTGTGAGCCGTAGAGTTCAGGGTCTCAATCACCAAGCCCAACCTTAACCTGGGACCCTAAATGCCGAGCACCGAATCTGTTGCAGCGCCTAACAATGAAGAAACCCACCCTGTTCTGACTATTACCCCAAGCGTAAAGCCACTGCAGGCCGCAGGGACTTCGCGCATCTTGGCATCGTTCCGTGGCTGCAGCGTCCAGCTGGGGGTTGTGCGGTCGTACTTCTCCGCCAAGTCCTTGGTTCTGCGGATTTTACTCGGGCTATAGAGGTTGAGGCGTACCTAAGACGAAGGCTGTGAGAGTTAATGACTGCAAACAAAACAGTAACAGTGCCGGTCGAGTCGCGTCCTTCGGACGATCGTCCAGGCTCTTCAGCGCTCGCTTCAAGATGGCCTGATGAGGCCAGTCAACCGTGGTAAGAAAAACCATGGCTTGTCGGCTTGGTTTGGCTCAGATGAAGCTTTACATCCATAACTAACACTCTGATGATGCGACTACTACTAGACCAAACCATGACTGCACGATTGAACCACAGACCGCAGCACCAAAAAATTGCGGCACAGTACTGCGTCCTTGCTGCAGTACTGAAATGCTTCATCAGCGCCATATGTGATGGGTTCGTATTCTGACAAGCAAGTCATGTATCAGAATACTACTCTGACACGAGACCATCTTATATGGGGGAAGAATGCCGTTATCCTGCAGTGCCGCGACAGCAATTGTACTGTAACCTTACCTTACTGTTTCGGGCGCACGCAATACAGTACTTCAACGATAGTGTCTGCTCAATAAGATCAGTAGCAACCATCACATTTATCGCCATTGTATCATCATGACACTCTTTGGCACTGGCGATGCTGCTGCTTTCACGCATAACCTCAGCGCCCATACGTTTTAGATTTCATTGTTGCCTAAAGACCGCAGTCCCCAGCGAGCAGCGAAGGGAGGAGGCTCCTTGTCCGGGCCTCAAACCTGTACCCTCTGCCACCTCACGGTGTCCGAACCAGGCAACAAGCTCTATTCGAGTATTACAATTGCGAGCGCAAGAATCGTGGCGCCTCTCGGACCACAACCATACTGGTTTCCTATAGTTCATCTTACTGAAACGCTCGCAAATCCGCCGACGAAGGCCTAAAAAGTTCCTGGCGCCCAAGAGTGCCCACTAAAAAGCAAAAAACAAAACCAAAAGCCCCAGGAAGCCTAAAACCCCTAAACCCCAAACCTCTCGAACCCCCTGAAGCCTAAAACATCTTTGAGCCTCGCCGTCCAGACCAGCCACGGAAATGTCGAAGGGACCTCACTGCTTTGCTGCTATAATTACGGGAACCCTACAACCCTAAAACCCTAAAGCTTAGACCCTAAACCCAAACCCTACACCCTGAACCCTAAAACCAAGCCCTAAACTCTGAAAGCGGGTTTGTGAAGTCCACAGATGCTTTTCAGATCTGAGGCCCTTGGCTGGGGAGTTGGGAGCCCGAATAGCCCTAACCCCCTAAACCCTAATAGCCCTAAACCCTAAAAATGCGCCCCCACTGGGGCCTAAGGGGTTGAGGCCTCCCCGGCCCAGCTGTTGCTTGCCCAAGGGGCTCTTGCGCGGGTCCGTGCGATGCCTGGGCCCACAGGCGTGATAGGCTTCAGGGTTAGGGTTTCGGGTTTAGGGCTTAAGGCTACTAGGGTTTAGGGTTTAGGGTTTAGGGCTTTGGGTTTAGGGCTTTGGGTTTAGGGCTTAGGGCTTAGGGTTTAGGGCTTAGGGCTTTCGGTTTAGGGTTTAGGGCTTAGGGTTTAGGGTTTAGGGTTCAGGGTTTAGGTCCTTGGGATCCGGGTTCCTGGGTCGGACGTTCGGGTGGCTTTTAAATTTGAGACTTTCAAGCCTAAACATGTCACCGCGTTCGTGCCGACATCAAGCAACAGCTGTGACATGTTCTAGATCTGTGTGAAAGGTACTGTTCTGCTTTCGAACACCTTCACAAAGATTGCGCTTTAAAATTGTTCCTGTGATGGTAGGGTGATGTATCACTGTAGCAGCCTTGCAATGTTGCTCTTGCCATTGCTGTCGCCAGTCTCGCTTTGATCGTTAAAGCTATCGTTGTACCGTTATGTTACAATCTTATCAACCTTCGTCATAGTTCCCTTGCATGCCTAGCCCCTGCACCGCAAATCCTACAGCATAAAGACCGGAAATCTCCTTGAAGCCCCAAGCCGCAAACTAATCCAAAAACTCGCACCCTGACTGCTAATTAGAATGGGGCTAATTGGGACGCTATACTGTACTTGCATACTGACTCTGGCAGGGAAGGTTACTACAAGCACTACACCCCTAGAATAAATTCAAAGCCCTTCATTAAAGGCACCATGGAAAGAAACCCTCAAAAATGAACCCGTAAAAACAACCCTTGATTGAAGGAAACCCTAGCAAAGAACCCTGAAAGCCCCTCCCCCTCTGACCTTTCTCTCACGCCGAGACGCAGAGGCCTCGGGTTGCCCCCTGAGTGTTTCACCAGGTCGGTCTTGGGACGATAATCCGTCGGCGCGGGCTTCACGTCCTTCTCTATACCCTAAACCCTAAACCCCAAACTCTGAACCCTAAACCCTAAACCCTTCACAGGGGCTTTTGGAGGCTTTGAGTTCTAGAGGGTTCTACGGCTCTGGAGCGTAAGATACGACTTTTGAGGTTCACGATTTTGCCCACGGGCTTCAAGGGCACCTGCTTGGCTCCATTCCCTTCATTGCCAGATCAGAAAATCCCCAGACCTCAAACTCCCCGAGGCAAGACAAGACGAGGCGAAAGCGTATCCCCAGCCTAGATAGGTCTGGGAGCCAGGGTTTAGGGTTTAGGTCTCGAGTTACCGGAGCTTTCATGGAACAGCTCCAAGCACAGGAGCCTGGGGATGCTCCAGCAGATGTGAAGCTGCAGACAAAAAAACCCCGGGGACTCCTACAAAACCCCAAAACCCAAAGCACCAAAATCTGTAGAAAGGTTTAGGGCGTAGGGATTAGGGCTTAGGGTTTAGGGCTTAGGGTTTAGGGTTTAGGGCTTTTAGGGCATAGCTTAAGGCTCAGGGTTCTAGGGAATCTGCGCCCAGGGCCTGCTTCAGCGGCGCTATGCGCCCGTGGAGTTGGATGTCTTTGCCCAGCCGCTCCTTTGTAGGGTTCGAGAAAGTTTCCAGAATTCCTGAACCCTAAACCTCCAAGACTCAAAACCTATAAGGGCTCCTTTAAGAGATCTATAAGGGTTGAGGGTTTAGGGCCCCTATAAGGGCTCCTCCAAACTATAAAGGTCCATACCCTCCAGATGCCGGCTCCGGCCAGGTCTCCCAGCATGTCTAGTCTAGCTGGGAGTTGAACTCCCAAAGGAGGCGATTCAAAGTCTGAGAGAGAAGAATCGAAGAACAAAAAATCGGACCTCCACCTACCTACTCTTTGCATGGCAAGACTAGCCGCCACACACTGCTACTCCTGTGCCCGTTGACATGCCTGTCACTCCTGCGATGGTCCCTAAAACGAGGGCTCTTTTGGAGCTGTAGTGGTCGTGCTGCGGTACAAAATTGTTGAGACTGCTGCTCTTGCTCTACTCTGATTCTAATTGCAGACACTACGCTATGCCGTTAGAGCAAGACCGTTGCTAGCAGAGAGGGGGTTAAATCTAAAGCGGTTGTTAAAAGTGCTCTTAACAACCAAGAAAGGGTTTTGGGAGTGTATTATTTCTTCTAGGACTACAGAGGAAAACTAGTACTAAGTATTGAAGCCCCTACATTAAAGCCCGAAGAGGCTTAGGATTGAGCAGATAAGCCACAGCCCCGTTCAGCAGAGAGGCCGACGGCACCCGGTACTCGTTCGGCGCTGGCACGTAATCCTCACACACTGTCACATGGCACAGGTTAAGCTAAACCCTGAACCCTAAACCCCGAAGTGCGGGCGCATCGGCTCTATGCTTTAGCGCTGTAAAGTAGACCCCTGAAGGACTGTCTTTACTGACGACGACTGATCATTCAGGCCACTAGACAAGACTTCGCGGCTCAAGGTCCGCAACTTTCGAGGTACCCTAAACGCCTAAACCCTAAACCCTAAACCCCACCTAACCCCCTAAACCCCTAAACCCTAAACCCTAAAACCCTAAACCCCTAAAACCCTAGACCCCTAAAACCCTAAACCCCTAAGCCCGAA